GAAAAAAAAAAAAAAAAAAAAAAAAAAAAAAAAAAAAGGAGAGAGAGAGAGAGAGAGAAGGGAGAAGAGAAATGGCTCACATTCCACAGAAAATGTTTTTACGCTGTTGACCTGTTGTCCCCTTCCCTTCAACTTCGCCCAATCCCCAATCGTCAGTCGGCGGCCCCAACCTTCTCCTTCAGCCATGAAATCGCTCCCAATCGCTCCTTCAGATTTCACAGTAAGTAAATGTAATCGATTTGAAATTGGAGGGTTATGAAATTGGGGTAAATTTGGGGGGAAATGAACCAAGAGAGAAGAGAAATGACTCACATTCCACAGAAAAGGTTGTTACGCTGTCGATCTGCCGTCCCCTTTCCCTTTAGCTTCACCCAATCCCCAATCACTGGCCGACAGCCCCTTCTCCTTCAGCCACGAAATTGCACCAAATCCCTCCCAATCACTCCTTTAGATCTCACAATAAATAAATGTAATCGATTTGGATTTGGAGGGTTATGAAGGGGGGGGGGGGGGGGGGGGGAATGAACCAAGAGTCTTGCCTTGGGCATGGAAATAAAATTTCCTAACATGTGTATTCTTGTCTATATAATTTGAAAATGGACATTGAAAGAAATGTGGACATTTTTACAAATGATTAGATGAAATTGGACATTCTATGAAATTTCCTCAATAAAATATTTAGACAAAAGAAATGCAATTCTTGGCATATGAAGTGGTTCTGAATCAACATATACAAATCCACGAGTGATTGACTTAGTGTCTAAGGTTAGGAGAGTTTTCATAGTGATGACATCTTTATCAATAGAAGTGATTGTTATTAAAATTTGGATTTCGTTTTAAAAGGTTAACTTTGTTATAAAGAATAGTCCAAATTATTATATGTGTATTTTCATCTTTATTCGATATGAGATTTTATTTTTTAACGTGCCATGTATGGTGGTTCGTTGCGTGCTCATTTTTTTGAGTTTTAATCGAATCAAATTTCTCTTTAGAATTTAATGGTCCCTGACACCATATTAAGATTTAGCCTCTGTTTAATTCTCATTATTTGGCTACAAAAAATAAAAAATATGATCGTTATCTATTATATCAAATCATCATATTTGACTTTCTATCTTTTGTGTGGATCCCTAATAATTATATTTTTCATTCTTATTCTTACAAAAATAAATATCAAACGGACCTTTAATTTCCATCATGAAATGTCACTCGTATTGCTTAACTCAGGAGTAGGAGTTGACGTTGGCAATGGATTTCCGTAAAAACAAATAAAAGTAAGGACAGTTGACGGAAATGGTGTCAATATATGGAGACTGGGAGACCATTCTGTCTCAACATAATTAGCAAAAATCTCTTAGCAGAAAATAAGCCCTTTTCAGGGAATAACCTACCAAAAAGGATGATATTTTGCAGTAATAATTGAAGTTTGGAATCTTCACATACCCTATGTTCAGCTCAGAAACAATTTCAAGAAACATGAACAACAGCAGCAGTAGCTTTCTGTTTTCCAGTAATAATCAGCAAAACTGTGGTGGTTTAGCTCGATATCGTTCAGCTCCCAGTTCATTTTTAGCTACCCTTTTGGATTCTGGTGAAGAGAATGGTGAAGAATCTGAGGTAATGTTCTCTAATTTGTTGAATCAAAGGGGGGCTATGGCTATGAAGCAAGAAATTGATGTTTCAATGGAGCAACAAAATGGATCTTATTCTGTGGGAATGGAGAATTTGAGGATGAAAAACTGTGGGAGTCTTGCCAGCCAAACTAGTTCCCCACCTGGATTTTTCAATGGTAAAATTCATATTTATTAGATTAAAGTGTCTTCAAATTTGTTTATGCTGGTTTGATTAGTTAATTAGAACTAATTTTGTTTGCAAAATTTGTATAATAATTTATTTATTATCTGTACAAAAGAAGGATGTTGCTTTTGGTTGATATATATGGCTGACTTTCAGCTTTCTTAGTTAGGGTATAGAATAAGGTTGGGAAAAGAGAAGAAACATGGAAATTTTCCTTTATACCTTACAATGTTTTTTTTAATAGATAAAGCTAGCTGAAAAAGAGGAAATATCTGGGTTTTTTTTTTTTTTTTTTAGCCCCTGTTTGTTAATCTAAATCAAAGTTAATAATAAATTTTAATCATATGAAATGAGATGCATAACTTTTCAACCATACATTTCATCAAATTTTATCAAAATCTAATTTTAATTCTCACCAAATAGGCGCTTATTCTTCTCCTTTGGGGGTGGGTGGTAATGCTAACTGAGGTTTGTAAACCACTTGATGTGCCTTAGCCTTGCGTGTGGTGTCAAGGGGAGTATCAAGTGACACCAGCTGCGATGTTAAAGGGGAGCGTAATCCATACATGAGAAAAACCCCCGCAAAATTTTTAGTCCATAATTTTAACCCATATTTTTTACATAATTCTGTCTCCCCCCGCTTAATTATATTTCTGGGTCTGCCCCTGCCTATGGACATTCGACATTCATGTATTAAGCTAGATTTCATGTGTTGCACTGTGACTAATTACATTTTTGGATCCATTTGTTGTGATTTTTATGAACAATTACACAGTAATCACGAGCTTATTTACAGAGTTATGAAGAAGTTGCTTAAAAGTTCTTATGTGATCTCAGGTTTTGGTGTAATGGGAGAAGTGGGAAACTACAGGATAAGCAATCATGCAGAAACCAGTTCACCCACGAATGGTTTGAAGAATCACGCTGATTACTCGTCTGGTACGGCTTTTAGCACAAGGTTCATGCCTAGCATACCTGAAAATGGGGACGGAAACATAGGCACAATTAGAGCTGAAAATGGAAATAATAGCAGAGACTATGACTCTGCCTTGCTAGAGGACTGTTGGAATGTTTCACCCTTCAACAGCATGAAAAGAAACCGAGATGGTGATCTGAAAATGTTCTCTAGTTTTAATGGATTATTGGGAAATGAGGTAGTTTTATTGGTTTTTTTGCTGGTTTTCATGTTGTTTGCCTGTACATGATACTTCGATTTCTGATATTCATATCTTTCTAATCAGAACAGGGAAACTAGAAACAAGGATATGTGTTTAACTCACCATTTGAGCTTACCGAAAACCCCTTCCGAAATAGATTCGGTGGAAAAATTTCTACAACATGATACCATCCCCTGTCAAATCCGGGCTAAAAGAGGTTGTGCCACTCATCCCCGAAGCATTGCAGAGAGGGTAAAATTCTTATTCATATTTGTGTCGATTTTATTCATTGTATTATTCATCACTCTCTGTTTCACACTAATGAACAAGACTTAATTAGTACTCCCAAATTGAATTATGTTGGATAGTTTTAACATTTTGTCAAGCTAATCAACAGGTGAGACGAACTCGGATTAGTGAAAGAATGAAGAAGCTGCAAGAGCTCTGCCCAAATATGGACAAGGTAGATATTTTAGCTGCGGTCGTAGTTTGATTTTTCTATTTTTCAGAAGTGCTTGGGGATCGAGATTTTTTCATTTTTGTGGCAGCAAACGAACACGGCCAATATGTTAGATTTGGCAGTTGAGTACATTAAAGAGCTTCAAGAACAAGTCCAGGTAATAAAGATGATAAATCCCTTTCACTGTAAAGTGTGAGATTCACATGAAATCTGTCTCAAAAACTTTATTTTGTGTAGACTCTCACGGACAAGAGGGCAAAGTGCAGATGTTGAAGTATGGAAAAAGATGCATATCGTATCCCGTGAGTTGCGTTTTTACGTGCTTGTACTAGATACCTATATATCCAGCTTATGATGAAGACTGACGCGTATTAGTCGATGAAGAGTACTACGAATAATTCGGAAGTTGACAGACCACACGGTAAATATATGTTCGTAGTTTCAGTTTTAATCTATATTTTATTAGAATAAGTGTAACCTCCGGGATTTCGAAAATTTATATATTTGTATGTAAATATTTATAATGTTCTAAAATATATATGTTATATATGTTTATTGTAATTTAGAATGAAAAAAGGTTGTGGTCTGGGAGACTTAGAAGTATGAAGTCTTAACGTTAAAAATACAGTCTTTGCCTCCTTTCTTCAGCCGTCAAAACCTACTTTCTTAGGTCTCTCAATATGTATTTATAATTCCCTTAATTTGCATTACGAGTTGGAGTTGGGCCGGGTCGAAAATATTTGGAAAAATTGCATTTTTTCTTTCTCGGCATGCAGCACCTAGGCGCTGAGTTTCTGTTGGAATTACAGAATTGTGGCGCCTGGGCGCTGAGGGTATAGCGCTTGGGCGCCCGGTTCGCCCGAAACGGCATTCTGCGCGTGTTTCAATATTTTCAGCATAACTTTCTCGTTCGATATCCAATTGAAGTGACTCAAGATGCGTTGGAAAGGTAATTCAAAGGGCTACAACTTTGCTTCAGGAATCATTCTCCAATTCGATCATTTACTATGTCGAAAATGGGTCTGAATGTGGGACTAAAAATCCGGTGCAAAACTTTTCGGTTGGAAAATGATTTTTGATCATATCTTGATTAAATTTGATCCCTTTTGACACCTTCCTTCATCCAATTGACTCCTACCACTCTCGGATCTTCATTTCAAGTTCCGATACAACTTTTGATTATGTGCACTTTAGTCCTCAAACTTTGGATCTCTTACATTTTGGTCCTTTTATCCAATTTCGCCAACTTTTGCCTATTTCTTTCATTTGGCTCTTTTAGCACTTGTTTTCTCCGCTTCATCCATCCTTCAAAGTAGCGTGAAAACCACATGTTAGCACTTCTAAAATACTCTCCAAGATAGCAAAATTATGAAATTAATGGCATAATATAATGAGTGTAAATCACTCATCAGCTGCTGCAATCATTCCTAATCTGCAGGATGAAATGAAAGCGTTGAGAGCTCAATTACGAGTACTCCAACGTGCGGTGGACAATGAACAAGCTCTCGTATTTAAGTATACTCCTAGACTCGGAATTCCTGAACCGTGTATCTACGGAGGGGTACATGATGCAAAAGAAGTCGAAAACTTCTTATTTGACATGGAACAATACTTTCTCACAGCCTCGATCGAAGACGAAGCTAGAAGGTAACCACAGCTGCCATGTATCTGGGTAGAGATGCAAAACTATTGTGGCGAACCAAATTTAGACATACCTGTATGAGACCGTACAATAGATCTTCAAGGACGGAGGACGGTCTCTTCACGAGATAATCGTACCCACTTTCGTTCTAGGATAACGAAAACATCGAAAGAGAAAAGCGAACCAGTTGATCTGCAGTTTCGTCCCTCCTACTTTGGGATCTTCTCAAGGAAGCGATCACATCCCAGTTTTTCCTGAAAATGTCGAGTATCAGGCTCGACGGGCACTTCGAAACTTGAAACATACAAGCTCTATCGAGAGTATGTGAAAGCCTTCTCGGGTATATGCTGAATATTCGAGATATGTCGGAAAAGGATAAGCTCTTCACGTTTATGGAATGGTTAAACTCGTGGACACTCACGGAACTTCAAAGACTAAAGGTTACTGATTTGAGCACGGTCATGGGAGCCGCCGAATGCTTGAGCGACTACCAAACGGAATCTAGAAAAGATCGACCTTCAGGGAGTAATCAAGCAATTGGAGGTGGTAACAGACCTCACAGACCCAGCTCGAACCCAAATGAGGGAGAGCATTACTCTCAGAATAAAGAAGGAGCATATCAAAGCACCCATGGCTTTCAGGGAAACTATCATAATAGCCGTCAAGGAAATTTTAATGACAGCAATAGTAACAATTGGAACAAAGGAAAAGCAACGGAGGGCCGAATTGATGCCACTCCTAAATTGATGTGCTTTTTATGCGAAGGATCTCATCGGGTGTCGGAGTGTTCTCAGAAACGAATGGTGAATGCATATTGCCAGCTAGCATGTGTCGGGTCAAGTTCAAAGCAAGAGGCCCCACGGGCTAATTGTCATAGTGAGACCGACTACAAAGATGATGAGGACGTAGTTGGGGCATTTTCACATCAGTGCAACACACTCTCGCATCGGGTTGCTAAAAAAGAAGATGTCCCATTGAAAGAGGCAAAGATGGAAAAAGCGAAGGCTCGAATTTGCAGGGCCAAAGGCTTAATGTACATTGATGTGAAAATCAACGGGAAGCCAATCAGGGCTATGGTGGATACTGGTGCTACCCACAACTACCTTGCATGCACCGAAGTAGAGTGACTCGGACTTGTTCTAGAAAAGGGTAGTGGAAAAGTTAAAGCAATCAACTCCGATGCTCAACCAATAGTTGGAGTGGCGAAATCAGTGTTGATCAAAGCAGGTCCTTTCGAGGGAAGGACAAATTTATCAGCAGTTCAGATGGATGATTTCAAGCTTATTCTGAGATTAGAATTTCTTCGGGATACTAAGACAGCAGTGTTGCCATATTCCAATTCGTTAATGATGATGGGTAATAAGCTGTGTGTCATCCTTACACAAGTTAGGAGGATGGGCGAGAAGAGTATCTCAGCCATGCAATTTAATAAGGGTTTTAAGAGAAATGTACCTTTTTTTTTTGCACTCTTCGATTAGAGGAGATCGAAGAGGCGAATGGTCCTATTTCAAAACTCGTTAAAAGGCTTATTCGAGAATTTGAGGACATCATGCCGGACGAGTTGCCAAAGAAATTACCACCAAAAAGGACGATTGATCATGAGATTGAACTTATTCCAGGTGTCAAACCTCCCGTCAGGGCACCATACCGTATGTCTCAGTCTGAGCTTGAAGAGCTTAGAAAGCAATTGAGCGAAATGTTGGAGAGTGGAATCATTGTGCCTACGAAGTCACCATATGGAGCTCCTGTACTGTTTCAGAAAAGGGCCGATGGTTCTCTTAGAATGTGCTGTGACTATCGAGCCTTGAACAAGATTACTGTAAAGAATAGCTATCCTATCACACTGGTTGCGGATTGCTTCGATCGACTGAGTCGGGTGAAGTATTACACGAAAATTGATCTTAGGTCCGGATATTGGAATGTTCGGATCAAGGAGGGAGACGAAGCAAAGATTACAGTGGTAACCAGAAATGGAGCCTTTGAATTTAAAGTGATGCCTTTTGGTTTGACAAACGCTCCAGCAATGTTTTGTACTATGATGAATCAGGTACTTCACGGGTTCTTAGATGATTTTATCGTGGTGTACTTAGATGATATAGTAATCTACAGCGAGACATTGGAGGAACATGTCCAACATGTGAGGTAAGTTTTTAATCGGCTACGGGAGAATGAACTCTATGTCAAACCGTCTAAATGCTCATTTGCTCAGACATCTATCAATTTCTTGGTTCACATCATTGAACAAGGTAAAATCCACATGGATTAGAAGAATGTTACAGCCATCAAAAATTGGCAACCACAAAAAACCGTACATGATGTACGTTCATTTCTTGGGTTATGCAATTACATCAAAGATTTGTGAAAGGTTACTCAGAAATTGCACTACCACTTACCGAATTGACAAAGAAGGATAATGATTGGGATTGGTCGTCCCAATGCCAAACTGCTTTTGAAAGGTTGAAGAAGTCCATGTGGACGAACCCGATTTTAGCCTTACCGGATATGACTAAATCATTTGAAGTTCATACAGATGCTTCAAATTTTGCACTTGGTGGAGTTTTCATGCAAGAAGGACGTCTGGTAGCATATGAGAGCCGAAAGTTAAACCAAACAGAACGTCGTTACTCGGCACATAAAAAGGAATTGTTGGCAGTAGTCCATTGTTTTAGAGGATGGCGTCACTATTTGCTTGGGTCTCCATTTATTGTGAAGTCAGATAACATTGTGGTTAGTCACTTCATGTCCCAACCAAAACTATCGGGCAAGCAGGCTCGTTGGCAGGAATTTCTTTTAGAGTTCAATTTTATGCTAGAGTATCGTCCCAGATCTAGTAATCATGTTGCTGATACTCTTAGTTGACAGCCGATTTGGCTACCATTTGCTCTGTAGCTGCTCTTTCAGGGAGTGGCGTTACCATGAACACAAGAGACCAAATTCGGGCACTTATGGAGAAGGACCCGGCTACTCAATATTTGGTCGACCTCATCAAGCAGGGTAAAACTCGATAGTTCTAGCTCGATGGGCTAGTGAAGACAAAGGGAGACCGCCTATATGTTCCTAAGGGCGGAGATTTGAGGAAAACACTAATTACAAAATGCCATGACACGATTTGGGCAGGGCATCTCGGAGGAACGCACTTGTGCACTAATGCAACTTATGTAAAACCCTATCTTATTTGTCAACAAGATAAGGTAGATCATCAGAAAAAGGCGGGCTTGTTGGAGCCCCTTTCTGTCCCAATCCGGCCATTCCAAAGTGTATCGATGGACAACATTATTGGGTTGCCAAAAGTTGAGGATTTTGGCACTATCATCGTCGTGGTGGACTGTTTATCAAAATACACAACTTTTATTGCAGCGCCTAAGTATGTATTGTAAAATACTCGGGACTGCCTAAGGACATCGTCAGTGATTGAGATCCTCGTTTCACTGGTATATTTTGGATTGAGTTGTTCAAACTTCTTGGTTCAACTTTGAGCATGAGTTCTAGTTTTCACCCACAATCTGACGGACAGACGGAGCGCTTCAATTCTATGTTAGAAGAATATCTTCGACACTTTATCTCTACTTCGCAGAAAAACTGGGTAAAACTTTTGGATGCGGCTCAGATTTGCTTCAATGCCCAAAAGAGCTCTTGCACCAATAAGAGTCATTTTGAGATTGTTACTAGCCAGCAATCGCTACTCCCTCATACAGTGGATATCAAACGAAGTACCAAATCCCCTCAAGCAAAGAACTTTTCTCAAGAGTAGAAACGAAATATTGAAATTGCTCGGAGTTATCTTAAGAAAGCTCAAAAACGGTATAAAAAGGCTGCAGATCTAAAGCGCCGTTTCATTGAATTCAATGTTGGAGATCTCGTAATAGTTAAGCTTCCCGGCAGAAATGTTTACAAACCAACAAGAGGGAAGGACTCAAGACTGACGCCAAAATACATTGGACTATTACCCATCGTGAAGAGAATTGAAAGAGTTGAATACAGAGTTGAACCCCTTCATGGTGTAAAATCCACAAGGTCCTTTTATGTTAGTGTACTGAAGCCATACTTTGCAGACAAGGAAGACACATCTTGAAATGAGCCAAAGCGATTTGTGTTTGAACTGAAGAAAGTTGGAAAGAAGGTTACTGAAGCTATTCTTGACCATCGAATCACTCGAGCTTCTAGAAAAGATCATCATGAGTACTTGGTCAAATGGATTGGATGCAGTAGCAAGGAGAATACTTGGGAAAGAGATAAAGATCTTGGAGCCTTCAAACTATTAATTGAAGCATATCACGCATGGATGACATCGAGGACGTCACCAAAACAAATAGGGGAGAATCTCAAGGACCCTAGCTTTACTTAGCCCCTTGACACTATCGCAGCCGCAGTTTGCCCAAGTTCGGCCATATATTGTAAATATTAGTTCAAGTTTGAATTGTAATTTTCTTTTCATTATAATAGTTATTTGAATTGTAAACTAACTCTGATATTAGTAAACGTTTAGTATGATTCCTCGTCTTTTAAACGTCTACTCCTGTTACTTAGGTTTTTGTTCCGAATGCTATTATAGGGGGTATTAGTCATTCAAAAATCTTTCAAGTTCACTGGTGTCCGCCCCCTGTACCAGCAATTGTAATTTTCTGCTTTCGTCAATTGTAATGTTCAATTTTCATCAATCAATGCTCAATTTACTTTCAATGTATTCAAATTCTTTGTTGTAAGCTTTCTACAAAACTGTAATCAAATTTTCTTTCGTCCCAATGTGACCAAGAAAAGGCGGAAGGTAGTCTAGCGGAGCAGACCACTGCCGCACGATGTCCCTTTTTGTGCCAAGAAGAAAGGCACCCGTAAAACAAGGGCAAGACAAGCATGAGACACTGAGCCCAAAGCACTTCCATGTTAGGATTGGGAGCTATGGCGTCATCACAGACTATAGTAAAAATTTCAAAAATCTTGAAATACGATATATTTTATAGGAAATTTTGGATGAGTACATTAAATTTTGATTTCTACTATTTATTTGAGCTTGAAAGCCCTTCAAAGCCAAAGTGCGACTTTATCGGGACCAAAGTGAAAGGAAATGAAAGTTATGGGAAGTTCGTAGCACTTGTTTAATCCCCATTTTAATTAGATTTTGGAAAAAATGTATTTTGAAATAGTAATTTTATTTATTTATTTATTATTTTTTTAAGAATATATGATTAAAAAAAAGAAAAGTTTTGAATTTATGTGTAATATTATTTTATTGAAAAATGTGTGATTGATAAAGAGAGAAAGAAATGAATTATATACGATATATTTTATAGGAAATTTTGGATGAGTACATTAAATCTTTTGGGTTTAAATGATTTTCTAGTATTTATTTGTGCTTGAAAAGCCCTTCAAAACAAATGTTTGACCTTACCGAATCCAAAGTGAAAAGAAATGAAAGTTTTGTGAAGTTCAATATCAGAGGTGGACATGGTTTCATTTGATTCTAGTTCTAAGAGAACTGAATCGAACCATAAACTAATGGTTTTCTTGATAATAGAACCAAATGGCTTTTTTAAAGATATGGAATCAAACTCAACCGATCCATTTGTTTTTGGTTTGATTTGGCCTGGTTCTAGTTCTATTACTTAATTTTTTAGACTTACGCCATATATACAAGTTAGTAATATATACTTAAATAAAAAATATAAGCACCATACATTTAGCAAGTTCAAATTATCAATCATCAAGATTTTAAAAGTTCAAGCTAACGAACAAAATATAAACAAATGCTTCTCTGCCAAAAGTTAATAATATCAAGTTTCATTTTCATCCTCCGTCTAATCAATTCCTTTACATGAAACCACCAAACCTACATGCTTCGTTCGAGAGATATGCAGGGCAGCGTTTCAGACTCTTTAGTGTTTAAATTTGAAGTAATATCATTAATGGGCTGTACAAAAATAATGACTATTGGATTGACTTCAATTAATACAAGATTATATTCATATAAAAATAAAGTTATAAATTAAGTTTGGTTTTTGATTTTGTTCTCAATCTAGAACTAGAACCGAAACTAAATTGTTCTTGGTACAAAGAACCAAAACCATTCTTTTTTTTTTTGTGTGGAACCGAACCGAACAGCTCGATTTGGTTTGGTTTGGTCTGGACATTTTGTCCACTCCTATTCAATACCATATTGCATGCGTTGATTTAGCATTATTTCAAATTAATTCTAGTTAATTATATTATACATAGAAGAAGAATTGAAAATTGAATTAATTATAGAGGAGTTACAAAGTTAATTCTAGACCTACGATCAAGTTTGCAATTACCAATTTATCAAATCTCCTGTCCATTTTTCTTTCGCAAAGTCGGTCATGCACTAAACCACCTTCAAGTAGTACAAGCAGATGTCTGCACTGAACTTTGGACACAAATAAATATTGGCTTTTTAAAAAAAGAAAAAAAAAAGAATATGCTGTCAAATAACTTTTAGGGATAATATCACAAATCAGGTTTTAACTTTGCACCATTCAAAAATTAGGTTTCAAGTTTGATGAATGCAAAAATCACGTTATAGCTAATTAATTAAAAATATTTATTAAATAAATATAACGAGGTCACAATTATTCAATTAATGATCACAGATTCATAATTATAGATCACAGATTTATTCACTGGCCATATTTTATCAAATTAATTGACCACAGATTATTTCTAGACCACAAATCCAAAATTTTGTAGGTTACAGATTATTTTGAAATCATAAATAAAATTTTTTTATAGATTACAATTTACTTCATTAGTCACAGATAAAAAAATTAACGTCACAGTTATCTATGTGTCACATATTTTCAAATTTGTTGGTCACAGATTATTTTCTAGTCACAAATTATTGAATTTTAAGGTCATATACTCCAAACACTACCACCACGGGTCCCGATTCAACATCAATTTTGGTCACAAATCACCACCACATAATCGCCGCTTGTACCACACCACCGCAACCACCACACCACCACCATCAACAAAACGAACACCACCTCTGCTACCTGTAGTGCAACAAAATTCTAGTTTTGGAGACTATACCACAAGTCATCCATTGTATTGTTACTTGCAAGGTAACATCTTATATCTTTCGTGTTAGCTTTGTTTATGCTTTTCATACTATTGTTAACCGAAGGCCGCTTTGGAGCAACATTATGGATTTTAGTGCAAATGATTCAATGCCTTGGATGATTCTTGGTGATTTCAACAACGTACCTAAATTTCAAGAGAAAAGCAATGGCGCGGAGGTAACACCTTATGAAATTAAAGATTTTGCTAATTTTTGCCTTCATGTTGGTCTTACGGATGTTCACTCCATTGGTTGTTTCTATACATGGACTAACAATTCTGTTTGGAGCAAAATTGATAGGGCTATGGTGGATGACATTTGGATTCAAAATGGTGCATATGGCCTTGCTGAATTTTTACCTTCCGGATGCCTCTCCGACCATTCTCTATGCATTGTGTCCATTTATCGTGAGGTGGGCAATAGGAAATCATTCAAAGTTTTCAACATGTGGACAAATCATGAAGATTTCAATGGACTTGTTCAAGGTTGTTGGAATTTTGAAGTGGTGGGGACAAAGCAATTTGTACTTTGCAAGAAGTTGCATAAATTAAAAGGAGCATTAAAGGTGCTTAATGCTAAATACTTTGGGCACATTTCTATTGGTGTACAGTACCCCTTTTCCTTATTAGGAAAGCTTCCACTCTGATCCTTAAAACTTGCTAAAAGAGAATTGAAGGCTGCCCAACTCAAGCTTCATGATCAGCCCACGAATGAGGATATTCAACTTATGGTGGCGAATTTGAGAAAGAAAGCTATGGGATTATGTGAAGCGGATCGGAGCTTTTATTATCAACAAGCAAAGTGCATCTTCCTTAAGCAAAGTGACAAATGTACTAAATTCTTCCACTCGGTGGTGAAAAGGAATATGAGGAGAAACTTTATTGCTACCGTGCTTAAAGAGGATGGGATGTATACTACTTCACAAGACCAAGTTGCTCGGGAGTTTTTCCATTTTTACACCAAATTGCTTGGTACAAGTTGTCCGGTTCGGCCTATTGAGCTGGACATTATTCGTAACGGGCCTTTGGTGTCTTTGGAACAAGGCAATTCATTCGAGACATTTCTAGTGAAGAGATCAAGGAAGCACTCTTTGGCATTGAAGATGATAAATCCCCCAGGCCGAATGGTTACACTTCATGCTTCTTTAAAAAAGCATGGAAAATTATTGAAGAGGATTTTGTGGAGGCCATCAAGGAATTCTTCTCATCAAGATCCATCCTCAAACAAATAAATCACACGGTCATTGCTTTGGTGCCAAAGTCAAGTCATACACCGAACGTCAAGGATTATAGGCCTATATCTTGTTGTAACGTTATCTACAAAGTGATTACTAAAACCCTTCCTTCTAGATTGAGGCCTATTTTGGGTAGCATTGCGGATCATGCACAAGCTGCTTTTGTTGAGGGTAGGAGTATGATGGAAAATATTCATCTTGCCCAATAACTCTTGAGACAATATAATAGGAAGAGGGTTGCTCCTAGATGCCTCCTAAAGATTAATCTAAGGAAGGCTTATGATTCTGTGGGTTGGCAGTTTCTTAAAGGAGTTTTTGAAGGGTTGCATTTTCCTTCGAGATTTATACAATGGATTATGGAGTGTGTTACTTATCCAACATATTCTGTAGCTTTGAATGGGAGTTTACATGCTTCTTCAAAGGTGGAAAAGGCCTCCAACAAGGTCTCTCTATCATCCTTTTTGTTTGTGCTTTGTCTTGAATATTTCTCAAGAATGGTTAAGGCTGCCTCAAATGATAGTGAATTCAATTACCACCCTAAATGTGGTCCCTTAAAGATCACTCATTTAACTTTTTCGGATGACTTGTTGCTCTTTGCAAGGAGAGATGTTATGCCGGAACAAATTATAATGGATTGCCTTTCTAACTTTGGTCTTGTATCGGGTTTGAGGATGAATATCTTAAAATTCAGCTTGTATAAAACTAGAATTCATGGACGAGAGCTTGATGATATCCTTGAACTCACAAATTTCCCAAAGGATACCATGCCATTCTATTATTTGGGTATCCCTCTTGCTTTGGAAAACCCCAAAGTTAGTTGTTATGCTCAATTCCTTGAAAAAATTTGCAACTTATATTGATGCTTGGAATTGCTCCTCCCTATCTTATGCGGGCAAGGTGGAACTTATTAGGACGGTCCTCTAAGGTGTTGAATGCTTTTAGCTTTCTATCTTCCCTATCTTGGCTACAATTATTTCAAGAATTACTATCCTTTGTCGGAATTTTCTTTAGGGCTCCAAGAAGCCTTTGGTGGCTTGGAGGGATGTTTGCCTCCCAAAAGATGAAGGGAGTCTCGGGCTGAAGGACATGAAGAGTTGGAACTCAGCTTTACTTGCTAAATCTCTTTGGAATATCCATCAAAAAAAGGATACTCTTTGGAGACGTTGGGTTAACCAATTTTATCTTAAAAGAACTTGCATTTGGATGTTTTATTAAGAAAATATTACTCTCCTCTCTTCAAAAAATTGCTGGAAATTAGGGATACATTGCTACAAACTGCTACAGCTCCTAGAATTGTGCACAAGGATAGCCCGCGTTGTCCGTTTAGGTTGTTGGAGACAGCAGCCTGATTCAATCTGTTGAAATAACCTCAAGTCAGCATGCTGTGGCTACACAAAACAATGAGTTATTTCAGGAAGTTTTGGATAGATTTAAGGCTTGGCCAACTGGTGAAAAATTTTGCACAAAAATGGCCTATGATTATTTCCAGCCGAGAGGTACTAAGAGGATTTGGGCTGTCGATGTTTGGAAATCTTGCATAACATCGAAGCACTCATTTTTGCTTTGGTTATGGGTTCAATCTAAACTCCTAACTAAAGGTAAATTGCAATATTTGGAGATCGACCAGAATTGTGTTCTTTGTGGGCATATGGCGGAAAACAGGCCAACACTTATTTTTTGAATGTTCTTTTAGATCGTCCTTATGGGGGAGCATTAAACAGTTGCTTAGCATCAGAAGATCCATGTCGACACTTGCTAGCGCATTGAAGTGGATTAAAAAAGAGGCACGTGGGAATCATGGCTAAGCAAAGCTAAGAGGATTGCACTTGCAAATAACGTCTACTACATTTGGTTAGCTCGGAACAAGAAGAATTTTGAAGACCTTACATTTGGTTAGCTCGGAACAAACACTTGCAAATACCGTCTACTACACTTGGTTAGCTCGGAACAAGAAGAATTTTGAAGACCTACACCATGCTTGGACTGTATTATGAGACGAATCAAGATACATGTATAAAAAGTCATGTTTTCTTTGTATCCGGACGTTTTGATTCATTTCAAGTCCTTAGTGTTTGGTCATTGATTTTTGTTCTGCTTCATTTATTTTTGTTTCACCCGGGTAAGCCCGGAGTAATTGAATGTAACTTTAGCTTTGTTTTACCCGGGTATGCCCCGTATACTTGTACATGAAATTTTGATCAATGAAAATTTACATTTATCACTAAAAAAACCACCACTACCATCACCGCTTGTACCACACCACCAACGAAAACTACCATCGTCTCCTGCACGACACCACCACAACCACCAACAAACATCGACCAAAAAATGTCGACCACCAACACCATCCATATCCACGCTGCACAGATAAACCATTGCAACGGTGTCGACATTGAGAGACCCACTATGTGTGCATCACCATTTGTAAAATCATATCCACCCACATCGAACAAATCAGAAACTCGCCTCTGCTCACTCAAATCTTGCTTGACCACCACTTCATATCTTCAATGCAAACCGCCGTCGGTCACCCCATTCCACAGCCAGTATTCTTACCTCGCCGACAGCCACTCCTACATAGATCTATCCACCTTTGTCCTCATCAACCATATTCATTTGCTTAATTTCAACATACCTATGCACTACACCACACAGTTGCCTAGATCAATTGCACTAGACTCACCACTGGCATGTCGTTGTCGTTCTCATACACCTGACTGGAGTCAACCTCGTCACAGCATTGACTCCACAGCTCGGTCGAGCAAAGCTATGGTGGTGTTTGCATTAAGAATCGAAAGGGGAGAGAGAGAGAGAGATTCATGTTTGAAAATGGAATTGGGGATGAATTGGTTGAGGTTGATTAATTATAATATACCTGATTTTTGATTAATTAAAGTTTGTACTTGAATTTTGAAAAGTAATCTTTAAATGCCGGCTATTGTATAATTTCCACTAACTTTTATTTCCTAATCCCAGCCCGTTAGCCCACTAAATCATGACCCCAAATTTCCCAATTATTCAACCATATACCCTCCTTGTTCTCACCGACACACTCCAAAAATTGGCATTCCGGTGGAATTTATTGAAACCAACTTGGTCGGCTTCAATTTTAGATTGTTCTCAAAACTAACTCACGTGGTCACGCCCACCCCCTACCAGGAGTCAATGGCAATTGGCAACTCTAGGTCTCTACATACATTGGTATAATTTCCTAGCTCTGCCCTTGAATTAAGAGGTGGATTTTATCTCTAATATATGCTGTATTACTTATTTTGAAATATTATCTTTGAAATTTTATTCCTTAATTGTACCATTTGTTGTCAACTGGAATTTTATTTTTTAATTGAGGGCAAAACGGTCAGAGAAATTCAACGGCATGGTATCGTGTTCTTTTATTTCTGACAATTTCTTCAATGTTGTCGCCATCATTTGCCACAAAAATTGTAGAAAAATGAGATAATGTAAAAAAAGTTGGCAAGAATGAGCATCTAACATGCGCGGAAACCATAGAAAATTGCTTAAACTATCACATATCTTGCACTTGACTATTTATGACATGATTAATTTTATATCCACTACCGTCAAAGTCCTCCTCAACACCACCACCAAAACCTCTATTATCATCAAGGAGCAGTTCTGTGATTTCGCCAGCTAGGGAGAGGGAACCATCAACTTTGTTTGAATATTTTACACCCATTTCGACCAACGTTATCAAAAATGAAAGTTGGCAAATCTGAATGTTGATAAATCTTTATTTGAACAAGTACTCCAAGTGGTATAATTTGGTATGTAACTTCAAATTTTCCTAAAATTTGGAATTTTGGGAAAATAGAACTAAGCTTCCCAACACGTGGTTTCAGACAATGTTCTAGAGTCTGCCTTGCATATGAAGAAGTGAAAGAGGTGGTAAAAAATAGTGAACCTATATGGCAAAAGGCAGGCTAGGCATCAAAAGGTGTGTGCCTTTTTTTAACATTTTTTTTCAAAATTTAACAAATAGAAGGAAAAAATATTAATAATCTTATTAAAATAATTCAACAAATAGTCTTATTAATATAATTAAAATAATGTAATAATTAGATCCAAGGTTCATAAGAGTTGATAATTGAACTTGATGTCTCGCTACAGCTGGCACTTTTTAGAACTTTACTCTAGGTATGACTTTTACCAAAAATGTTATAAGTCCCATTATATTTAAATTTTTGAATCTTGTATTCTGTGGTCAAAATTGTCATTTTTCTTGTTAAATTTGCACACGTCTTTCACTCAATTGAAAGTTCAATTTTAAATTGTTTAACAATTTTTTCCTAAAACTATAAATCATGTAAAAATAGCATGTAATTTTAACAAAGTGTGCTCAATTTTTGTCCCGCAAGAACTAAATTCCTATATTCAAATCGAAGTTGACGAGTGTGATTTACTTATGAGTTTTATATTATTTTAACTTAATTATGAGCTAGATCTTAAGAGTATTGAACGTTTTTTAATGTGTTTATTAGTTTTGGTTTATAGTTTGGTAAGGCAGTGCAAATTATGGTTTTTTATTTAAATTTTTTAATTGTTTAATGTAATATAAAGAAAGTTACCATTTTGCCATTTTAAAATTGATTATAAAGTGGTCAAAGTTTATTTTGATGGTAAACTGACGTAATTTTTTACGGAAACCATTCAAAGGGACCTCAGATGCAACGTTTGGAAAGGTTTGGGGTAACGGTTGCAACAAATGAAATGTTAGGAAAAAGTATGCTAGTGTTTAAAAGGTTTGAGACTTCTACTGCAATTGTTCATAAAATTTAATTTCGTGCAAAACTCATATATATTCAATTATTATGATTATTAACACAAGGTCCCTATAAAGTGATAAAGTTGTTATGTTACCCCAAAATCTCAAAACTTGTATTTATGCATCATAATATATTGTACGAAATATATTTTGGGGGTATTACATCCTCTCTTACTACAAAAACATTTGTTCTCAAAATTTACATTGGTTATTGAAAAGTTGTGGATATTTAGCTTTAATATTTGCCTCATGTTCCCGAGTATACTCTTGCGTCACGTGATTTTGCCACTGAACTTTTACCAATGGAATTTCTTTATGCTGAAGTATTCGAATCTTCCTATCTAAGATGACTATTGGAGCTTCCTCGTAAGTTAGATTTGGAAGAATGTCTAATGATTAAGGATTAATCAAGTGACCATAATCTGATATGTATTTTCGAAGCATAGAAACATGAAATACGTTGTGTACTGTTGAAAGTTTGGAAGACAATGCTAGCTCATAAGCCACAGTTCCCACACGTTTCAAAATCTCAAAAGGTCCTACATATCTTGGTTAGACCTTTCCTCTTTTGCCAAATTGAATAACTCCCTTCATAGGAGCTATTTTTAGAAAAACTTTGTAACCTAACTCAAACTTAAGATCCTTCATCCTGTTATCTGCATAAATTTTTTGTCGATCTTGGGCTGTCTTTATTCTAGCTCGAATCTTCTCAATAGCTCAGACTGTTCGCTCAATAATCTCAGGTCATAAAATTATTCGTTCACCAACTTCATCCCAATGAGTTGGAGATCTGCATCTTCTACCACACAAAGCATCATAAGGAGTCATTCCTATGGTAGCCTGATAGCTATGATTGTAGGCAAATTCTACCAATAATAGAAGTTTTTCCCATCTTCCTCCAAGATCTAAGACACATGCTCAAAGTATGTCCTCAAGAATTTGAATAGTCCTCTCTGATTGACCATCTCACTATGGGTGAAAAGTTGTATTGAAGTTTAGCTTAGCCCCTATCCCTTGTGCATACTTTTCCAAAATTTTGAAGTGAATATCGGATCTCTATTCGACATAATAGAGACTAGGGTCCCATGTAATCTGATAACTTCTTTAACATATATCTGAGCTAACTGATCCATATTAAAAGTCATCTTTACTGACAATAAGTGAGCTGACTTTGTCACTTTGTTAATAATAACCCAAATTGCATCATTTCCTTTATTTGATTTTGGTATATCAACTACAAAATCCACGGCAATGTGCTCCTATTTTCATTTAGGAATCTCTACTGGATTTAATGATCCTGATGGTCTCCAATGTTATGTTTTCACTTGCTAGCAAACTATACACTTCTCTACGAATAAACCTATTCCTCTTTTCATATTTCGTTACCAGAATATGCTTTGAAGGTCTTTATAAATTTTTCTTCCCCTAGGATGTGCTGTATATAGGGCGAAGTGGGCTTCTTCTAATATATCTTCTCATCCTTCGGTACACACAATCTTCCTTTAAATATGAAGGTGTTATCTTCAACTAGCTCAAAACCTTTTTGTTTGTCAGTGGCAATTTTACAGTTAATCTTTTGTAGAAAATGATCACTATCTTGGGCTTTCTTAATTCGGTCTCGAATAGTAGGTTGAACTATGAGGATGGCAATTCGTGCCGCAATATCCGTTGGATATAAGATTACCACAAGTTGCAAGTGATCTATATCTCTAATTAATGATTTCTATATAGAAGGTAAAGCTGTCAAATGTCCTGTTGTCTTCTTGCTCAATGCATTAGCAACTATATTGGTCTTTCCTAGATGAAAATGAATGGCGCAACCATAATTGTTCACCAATTCTAGCCATTTACGTTGGCTCATGTTTAATTTCTTCTAGGTAAAGAAGTACTTTAGGCTC